CCCCCTCCTCCGCCTACACGAGTGCTGGCTAGTGAGGAGTACATCACAGCAGCGCACCATTCCTGACGCCTCAAAGCGGCAAATCTAAGTTTGTGTACACCTTTACTGACACTGTTTTCTAGCAGTCAAAGTAGCCGTAGGTCGTTCGCGTTTGTCATTAAAGTTATCATGTGTTCTCTCTCCTACGTTTGCATATGCAATTGCCTTTCTTGGTACTTTCGTTGTGTACAGGAAAGGTGTAAGCGAAGTCAGCCTGTTCGCCGTGGCAGCTGGTATAACGCAATGAACCTATGAAATACCCCCGCTTCACATCCCCTATTGTGGCGAATTGTTTGTATTTAGGTTCTACTTTGCTGAAATGGTGCCTTTATACCTGCAGATAATATTTTTTTCATTCCGCCATAGGCGTGTTTACAGGGAAGGAAAAGTATCAGTGGAACATCCTCCAGAGTAATCGAAGGGGCGACGAATTCTGACAATCCTTCAGTGGCACCCGCATTTTATCCCACTTGTGCCACGGTGTGATTCCAAACGTTGACACTGTCGCGATCTCATATCCGATCACACAATGGAGAAGCGCGGAATAAATCCTTATGAAAAGTGATTTTTTTTTTGCGGTGCGCATTCGGGCTGGAATACTGAGGTCCGCAACAGCGTTGGTCCTCAATGTGCCCTATGTTATATAAGTAGAGCTCCGTGTCTTTGAATAAATCAGAAAAAAAATCGTTAAGCTCTCGCCTGTCAAATGTTTCACCATTCAATTTTATCCTTAAACTCCCATTTTAACGTGATAGTGTTAAAACGCTCGTTTCGGAAAAATTCTGGTGTTGGTCTTGGCCATGCCGTCATTGGTTGTGAGCAAAAATCATCACCTCTAGGTGTTATTGTATAAAACTTTATGGCTGTAACAATGTTACATGTTCCGCGCATGGCTGGCAATTTTTTTACTCTCCGATAATGAAATTGGTCGTCAAAAATTTTCGAACGGAATACCCGCTTACGGGGCTCTCCTAGGTATTGTTAGTTCTGCCTAAATAAAGAATGAAAATAAAATTGAGACATTTACTGGTATGCGGTGCTGGGTCATCTTTCCTGGCCAATTTAATTTTAGTCTACTAATTGCTGGGTTAATTAGAAGAACAAATATTAAGAGGAGGAGAAAGATGGAAGGACTGGGTGGTTTTACATATAGCTTGTTCTCAAACCAGCTTGCTATCCTGTGCTGGGGAAGAGGAATAAGAGATGATGGGAGAGACAAGTTACAAAAAAAGGCTAAGTAAGGGAAAAACAGAAGAATGGTGTTTCAGACGGCACTGCTTAAAGTCTGTCTTTCAGATTAGTTGCCTTTGAGAAACGCAACAATGCTCTCGAACCTTACCGTGCCGAGGAAGGTTTCAGCCGGTGTGCTAACACCTTTCCTCCGACAATGGGCGATTGTCAAGTCTATCGAACATTTCTGACAGTTATTTCCTTGGTGCATTGAAGCGAGGGCACACCAGAAGAAGGGTGAGTGTCTCTTCGCAGCAGCATTTATTACAACACGGGCTACTGGACATTCAGATGCGAAACTAGTAAGCATTCGTGAAGGCCCTCACGAGCCACAGGCGGTGCAGAAGCATCTTCTCAGATTTAGGGTGCTATGCAGGATGCCCCGAGCTTCTCGGGCAGTCGAGTTGACTCCGAGCTCGCTCTACTGTGGCCGTGGCATGAAGACAGTACGGAGCGCATGATAGCCGAGTTGATTAAAAAAACGGCTACAGGAACACGCATGACTTCGGAAACGCATGTGGGATATTTGCGGCGCTTATCGAAGAAACACCGCGTGCGAACACGTCAGCGCCACCACTCATTCAATATTTTAACAGTGTGTTGATGCACGGCCGGTCTGGAGGCACGCGCTCCAGCGAGCGCGCCTCCCGACCGGCCGTGGGTGATGTCAGCGTGATTGTCGCACAATCTTTTTGCCAACTAAACACGTGCCTCCCATGGGCGTGTACGTGGGCGTTTGTTCTCCTTCGGACAGGTTCTTTCGTTCCACCTGCAGCATGGTAATTTCCACTATCGAAAGCAGCAAGGATGCACACGAAGCACTCTCGTACTGCTCGTTTTGCTTCAATCAAATATTGCTGATAAATATATGGACAAGTGGTCACCAGGGGCGCTCCCATTATGGCGGCAACGCGGCTGTCATTGGATACGTCGTGAGCGCGGTGAAATTGAATGCGAGACATCGTAGCCGCCTGGTGATATCAGTTATACTTCTGCGCGCGTGTGTGCCAAGTATGCGCAATAAAGCTGTTAGATTCATTGTGCCACTTGACGTGAGTACTGCTCCTCGGCAAGAGTAAACGTGGTGGGCGTTGGTCAATCAAACTGATTGACGCGTGAACTCGGATACAATCTCGTCGATTCTGAAAAAGCTGCAGTTCAACTTGTGACTGTCATAATGCCGGTGTAACTGCCAAGCGTTTGATGCGGTGTTCGTTAAGTAGCAGCCTATTTGCATATGAAATAATTCGGTGAGCTTACAATACTTGTGGAAGGCTGGAGCCACAGAGGAGCTTTTCATGACCTAGCTTCTTGCAGTTTTTTTAAGTTGGTCGTCGACTAATCTGCTTGGTTGGCTTCAAAGTGAAGACGGCATCAGCTCTGTCTTAGTTTTGATTATACCAATTGACTAAGGCTTAATCACCATCACTCTGAGCACATTTGTTTCCATTAATACGTTTTAAATCAATGGGCCATATCTCGGGCACAAATAGCAAGGCCATGTTTAGTATGAAGCTATTAAACGTAATTATGATTAGCACGATACCAATTGCCATCATATAATAAAAGGCTGATTCGCATGGTTTCACTTAGCGTGCTCATCATTATCTTCGCGTTAATTAGCAAGTTAGCTATCTCGTCAACTAGCATTCTTCAGTTAGCCCGGTCCTAGCTTTATTCACATGGCTTCATTAGCATGGTATTCTTAAGATGTGGCGTAATTACGTCGGCGTAGGCACGTAGCCAGAATTGTTTTCCTGGGGGGGGGGGGCATTTCCTTGTTTTCGTGAGGTGCGCCTCCTCAATATGGTCTTTCTTTGTTCTCTATGCCATGGCGAAGAAAATTTCAGAAGGAGGGGGCATGCGCCTGGTATGCCATCTAATGGCCATGCCCCTGCCTCGGCTTTACCAAGACTTTGCGTAATTAGCTTGGTCATTGCAGGTCCTGGCCTAACTAGTGAAATATATCACTAGTGAAATATAACTAGTGAAATATATCACCCATCCAAATAGCTAATTATCCAGCCACACGTGCTCGGGTGCTAGCGGATAGTGACAACAAACAAGACGCGCAGCGGGCGAGTAGCGGTCTAGAATGTGCAGCCTGACCATGATGATTAACAGGTGGCTTCAAGTTTAGCAGCGCTCACACTGCTGTATGCCTCTCGGCTGGTACTAATCTAAGAGGCCACCGCGCTGATTATTCTAAAACAGACTTAGGGCAGGCATAAAAACTTCAAAATAAATTTAAACAGCTCGTGCCTCTAAAATTATCATCACAAAAAGTTTCTGGCACTTTTATTGCATGGGTGCACTTCTGCACTCATTAGAACGACATACAGATGAAATAAGATTTATTTAGTTTGAAAACACCACCCAACTTAGTAGACCGTCCTTGACACGATGACTGGTTCTACCGTAACCAATAAAGCACAGCGTGCTGAGGTGTGGATTTCACTTATCGTTTTGTTGGCTCATTCAAAATGGGGTATCGCCAAAGCTCGGAAAGGTCCCGAGTTTCGCGAAACTCGGGCGATCGAAACTGGTCTGATCCTGCATAGCACCCCTAGTTAATCGCGTCGGAAGACGGAGCTGTAAATTCGGGTCCAACTTGCAAAGAAACGCGTTTCCGAATTCCGCCGAGTTCTACTGTGCGAGTGTCAAGTCACGTGCAAGTTAAGAAAGCCTTGTAGCAACATCTGTTCTTGGTAATGGTCTAACTACACAACGATATGTTGTGCTGCTTCCCTACAGCGTGGTTATAAAGTAGTCATATGTCAGTGACTGTATCTTCCTTTAGCCCATCACGATACGGCGACATAATATGCTGGAGTGCTGATTTAGATCGGAGAAGACTGACCATGACGACGGTGGCTTCAAGTACGAACTCCAGAGCAGCATGGATAGCTCTGAGTTCTACAGACGTCGATAATGTGAAATTTCGATGTTTTGAATTTCATGGAGGAGGATTTTTCATGAGAATGACCAGTGCCCCTGATGATCTTGCAGAAGAAACAGAACCGCCCGTGTAAATGTAAAGGCACCCACTGTGTTTTTCATGCAAGAACGATACCGTGGCTTGTTGTACCAAATTTGACGACTGTTTTTTGTTTTGTATTCCGGCAATGGTTATCAAGACTTGACTTTTTCAACCAGTGGCCGTGATCAGGGACTATAGTGACTGTAAACATCACAATGGTAAATGCGGTCTTGCTACATGCGTAAAGTTTGTAGGAATGATCGTGGAATGCGAAGCAATAATGCTGCTTAACGCAGGCTGTCGACTAGAATTTGATTTGATGATTGATATGTGGGGTTTTACGTCCCAAAGCCACCACATGATTATGAGAGACGCCCTAGTGGAGGACTTCTGAAATTTTGACCATCCGGGGTTCTTTACCGTGCACCCAAATCTGAGCACACGGGCCTATAACATTTTCACCTCTATCGATAATGCAGCCGCAGCAGCTGGGATTCAATCCCACGACATGCAGGTCAGCAGCCGAGTACCTTAGCCACTAGACCAGCCCGGCGGGGCTGTGGCCTAGAATTTGGAAGTGAGGCGAGGTGGTGCGTTGGAATATGCACCACCGTAGCTGCGAGTATGAATAAACAGGTGTATGCTATAGATTACTCTTACAACTATCTGCTGTAATGTTGTCGTGCATCGGAAGCACTGGAATAAATGAATGAATGAATGAAACAAGCATGAACGAAGATTTGCATCACAGGAGTGTGTATACGAATATTTTATTTTATCAGTGATCTTTCCTATTACCCAGCTGCGCTCGCTTACACTATGTGTGTAGTATCGGTATTGCTTGAAATTTTTGCGAAGAAAATCATCTTTTAAGAGATTTATCTTGCGTGTACATGGTGCCACGCACCTATTTCTACTGGAAAAGACCACCCGGGAACGGGAGCTTCGAGTTGCCCGAAGAAAAGGTGAAGTCTTTCTGTGACTGGATCGTTCCGTCCGACGCTTTGGTGAAAAGGACTCCCTTCTTGCCGCCCAGCAAAAATCCAACGGCCGGATTGAAAGGTGAAAATGGGAAGAACGGCTCCCCCTGCTTCCAAACACCTGCGCAATGAGCGTACGTGAAGAGATAGCTTTTTAATTATGCAAAACACACGGGAGTAGCCCTTTCAGCTGCTTCAGGATGCAAGCTTTTGCAACGAGTAAGTTTTCGCATGGGGATTGGCGTTGTTTTTTAAGTACACGTATCTCTGAAATACAGTATTTCTTCGTAGGGACCCCATGCGGTTTGTATATTATTCAAGCGCGATGCTGAAACGGTCTTTAGCAGCCCAAGAAGGTTTCTCGCATTTCGAACCACCTTATGCTGAATTCACAAAGCTTCGTTTTGTAACCATTTTCTAATATGAACTACATGCAGCAACCGCTAATAATATACCCAAGATCACAATTCACTCGCATCATGTGTTCTCACATATAGCTTCTGCGTAGAATTATTTTCTTGTGAGGGACAGCCAAAGCTAAGATTGAGGAGAGGTTTTCTTTACTTAACGTTTTTTCGGTTAATGCGCGGGCGTTGGTGCTCAGTTAGCAGACTATGACAGCCTTATTTTTTTAAATATTACGTGTGATTTGCACACAGCAACAGTGTATTTGCCATATCTTTCTTTGCTAATCAACGGCCATGCATTGGTGCATAAAACTTTCGTTTTTTCGAGCACTTGCTTTTTTTGGTAACTCGTTGATAGCACCCCTCTGAAGTGTTTTGAGCAGTTCAATAAAATTTACGTGTTTACTGCCAATGAAATGCTCATTTAAGATTTTATGAAGTACGTCTGAATACATATCTGATTCATTTGAAATTTACACTCTCCTGGTGTGTTTCTTATAGACGCGTAAGGGAGCATAGTGGGCACAAGTGTGATGGAAATACGAAATGCACCAGCAGCAGAATTGCGTTTTTGTGTATTTTCATTTTATGTGATTGTGGCTGACGAAGTCGGGTCACTTGAATATGCACTGTATCTCTCTCTCTCACCCCCCCTCCCCACACACGCGCCCGCATGCACGGATGGACGGATGGTCGCACGTTCATACTTTTACTACTACCATTAACGCGGCAAAGTTAGTCGTCCACTGCTCGAATTCTTCAGCCGCGTGACTCCAGTCTCAAACTTTAAAACCAATCTGATACGCAAAAACAGGACGCGCCTGCTTATTTTACAAGGCAGTGGTGGTGCGAGCAGAGGTGACTTCTGTGTCACGTAGGACGTCCTGCTAACCAGTATGAACGTTAGTCGGCTTCATTCGCCTTCTGGCCGCCGGTCGCAAATAATTGCGCAGACAGCATTAGCCACATCGCGTGAATCAGCCCTAATCCTATAGATTCAACATTCTTGCACAGTTGTGCATCGTGCAACACACTTTCGACGAAATACCCACGATCAACAATACAGTTGCTCACCTGTTTTAAGGGGTGTAGTAGCAAAGAGGTTCATGTGCTGAATCGCATCCAATGCTATGGATCCAGTTGGAAGTTGTGGAGCCGCAAGAGCCATCCCTGAATAGCAATCGCAAAAAAAGAAAAGAAAGGCTGTCGTGTCTGATATTCGACTTTTGAAACCAATATATTTTTGTAGCTGACCAAGGACGTTGGTCGGAAAATTCGACATCTTGACATTACACGTTCATAGGTGTGCACAGGGCGGGGCAGGGGGCCGCTTACCCCCCCGCCCCCCCAATCATCTTAGTGGGGAGGTGTCAAGTCTTCCCCACACTTTTGCTTTCTCAGGCCTGTCCGATGATTAGTTAGAATGTAAGGATGTCGCAATGCAGGTTTTTCTTAATAACAGCCTTCAAAGACCACTGATATGGTATGCCAAGAACTGTTTTCTTCCTACTTTGGTTCGCGGGATCCAATCGCGGCCGTGGCGGCCGCATTTTCAATGGAGGTGGAAATTTCAAGAGGCCCGTATGCTACATTTATGTGCACGTTAAAGAAACTTGAGTTATTCGAAATTTCAGGAGCCCTCCTCTTCGGCGTCTCTCGTAATCATATAGGGGATTTGTGACGTTAAACCCCAGATATTATTATTATTATTATTATTATTATTATTATTATTATTATTATTATTATTATTATTATTATTATTATTATTATTATTATTGTTATTATTATTATTATTATTATTATTATTATTATTATTATTATTATTATTATTATTATTATTATTATTATTAATATTATTATTATTATTATTATTTCCACTTTTACCCCAGCACAGCCGGCATTCAAAGACAGTCCTTTGTGGGAACAACGTCATAGCTTCAGTTTTATCACTATTTTTCATCCATTGTGAAGCTTTCTTTTTTTCGCAATCAACCATCGAAAAACAGAGGGTGTGGCTTTGGGGAAACTTCACCCCCTCCCCTTCAATAGGGTACCCTGCGAACACCTATGCGTGCTTGGGCTGGTTCTACCAGAGAACAGCAAAGCGCAATATCGTTGGCAAAATGTCAGCAAGATGGCTTGAAATACAAGCGCGACACGTAGACAGGGACAGCTAAGACACGGACACGCCTACAAGGAGCGTCTCGTGTCCCTGTCTACGTGTCGCGCTCGTATTTCAAGCCATCTTGCTGATATTTTGAGACAAAAGCGGGATGTGATTAAGAACGACGCCATAGTGGAGGGCTCAAGAAAAACTTGATCATCCCGTGTTTTAACATATGCCTAAATCTAAGTTAAGGGCCTCTGGCCTTTCGCCTGCATCGAATTGGGGCCATCGGGGCCGGGGTTTGATCTCATTCTCTTCAGATCAGCTGTTCTAAGGCTTCTAAGCACAAAAAAAATTCTTTTTAGCTCCAAGGCGTGTTCAATTGCCAGATGGGGTAGAAAGGCAAAAAACAGCCACAGATGTTATTGATTGATTGATTGATTGATATGTAGAGTTTAACGTTCCAAAACCACCATATGATTATGAGAGACGCCGTAGTGGAGGGCTCCGGAAATTTTGACCACCTGGGGTTCTTACACATGCGCCCAAACCTGAACACATGGGCCTACATGCTTAGATGTGAGTGCCCACGAAGGAACCCGTGGTGTTCCCAATCAGTACTCACCGGTTGCTATTAGAAGCACAAGTGCTGCCAGTAGGAGTTTAATCATTTTTCCTACGCAGTCTTGCTCAGCAGATCTTGCGTCTTAGGTGAAATTTCTGTTAATGAACAAGTGAGCAAATATCGACATCATGGTTCACTGCACACAAAATAAACTGCCAGGTAATCGATCATTTCATACCAAAGACCAACACGTCTCCATTTCCAGAAGCCCTGAGAAACCCAGAAAGGTGAAGGTAGCCTCGACAATCAACCTATCAGCTTTTTCGTTTATACGAAATTCAGCGTTTATCTTTTCGCGTATTGGTAACGACACTAGCAATGGTTATCTGCCCACGGTTTTATCGCAAAAAGGAAGGATGAAAGGATAAAAAACTTCTTCAACGATGCAGATATATTATATGTTCGACCCAAAAACAGCTTTAAAATTATTCACAAGTTCAACAGTGCGACTACTCTTTTAAATTTTCGTGGCTATGCTGTTTGACTTTTTAGACGGTCATCTTTGCTTTGTTAAGGCTTATAAATAAGACGAACTTACGTCATAAAACACCCCAAGCGGTTGAATAAGGTAAAGCTGCCGTTTACAGTCGAGGTTTTGCATTGAAAGTCGTTGCATAACGATGCTCAGGATAAACAACAAAGCTGCCATATCTTCTATTAGTAATAGTCATTATTTATTATTACCTAACCAATCCTGTTAAGATGGTAATCCTGCCACCCATGTGTAAGCGCAGTTACTTGTCACATAATCCTTTGGCGCTACTACAGGGTACTGTACTTCCAGTGTTTTTCATGTGCTGATAGTATTTAGAAGTTTTAAACATCTTCAATAAATAGTATATTCGATTTTGATTTGCGCTTACCTTACGGATCGACAGCTCAAACAGCTCCCAAGTGCTCAGCCCAACTCCACGTCAGCCTACTTCTCCTTGTTTTATATGCACGTTTTTGTGGGCATCTTTCAGAGCGACGAATACACATTTCTTTTCAAAATGCGAGTGAAACTGTGCTAAGAGGCGTCAGGATGTGCCGAACGCCTTTCTCACCTCGCGACTCACTTAACCGTGCTGACATATTTATTTTCAACTCGCGTAAAACAACGGAAAAGCTAGTGTATAGGAACATATATAGGTAAATTCAAAGGTAAAAGATAACCATCATAAAAGCTTTCGCAAAAACATACAATACGCTCTCACCTAACTTGCACCTCCGGTTTCCTGTCGTCTTCTTTGTCTATCTCTGGAAATAAAATAAAAAAAATGGCTGCGACGAAAAAAAAACAATAAAGAGTTTTACCGATTCAAAGCCAAGTTCCGGGCATACCAATTTTTCCCTCATAGTGCAATAAAAGGCAATGCCATCATCAGGTGTCAACCAGCTGTATATTCGTATAATTGAGCACTGGCATTGTCTGCAGCAAGCCGTCGCTCGGTCAGTCAAAAACTCTTGCCAGGTGCTCAGGGAAGGATAGTTTTTGTTATGAAGCAATTCACGTAATGTGAAAGATATTCATGCGTCTGATTGTCATAGATTTTTTTTCCATCAACGTGACGTCCTTATTGAATAAGAACCCATTCGCTTTCAGTGGCCAATATATAAAAACAAATAGTGCAGCATATTTACAACGCGATGAGAAAAGAAAACAATTCGCGGATGTCACGTATAGTGAGAATCCATCATATGCGAAGCACGAATGAGGAAGGTTGATATGCCACTTTAAAATCAGCAGGACATTACGAGGTGGACGTAAATTATGCCACAAATGACTTCCATGTCATGATTATAATGTTTGGACTTGTGATTTACCTTCGTTGTCTATTGACGTCACATGGTACCTAATCCGGTATATGTGGAGTCAGCGAAATGGCCGTGAACGCGCTATCAGCGTAGCATGTTGTCCTGTTTTACATAACACACATATCATGATTATTAGGTTTGGACGTGCCATTTACCTTCATCGTCTGTTCACGTTATGTCATACGTACATAATTTGGTACTTGTGGAGCTAGCGAAATGGCCGCGAGCGCGCTATATGAGCGTAGCATGTAGTGATGTTCTATATAAGGCACATGCCATGATTATCTTGTGTGGACGTGTAATTTACCTTCCTCGTCTGTTTTCTGTATGCCTACGGTGCGGGCCGAGGATTTGTTTTTCCTTACCTTGCAATAAAGAACGTTCACGTCACGTGATACCAAATTTGGTATAACGGAGCTAGCGAAATGGCCATGAGTGGGATATGAGCGTAGCATGTAGTCACGTTTTACATGACACGCATATTATAATGCGACTGTTTGGACGTGTCATTCACATTCGTTGTCCACGTCACGTGATGCAAATTTGTTATGTGTGGAGCTAGCAAAACGGCCATGAGGGGGCTAAGAGCGTAGCATGTGGTCATGTTTTACATGACACGTATGCCATGACTATCATGTTTGGACGTGTCATTTACCTTCGTGATCTGTTCGCGTCACGTAATACCATGTTTGGTATATGTGAAGCTAGTGAAATGGCCGCGAGGGCACCATGACCGTATGGCCTGTAATCATGACTTATACGACATGCATGTGGTGATTTTCACGTTAGGGTCTGTCAGTTATGTTTGCCATACAGTCATGTCAAACCATACCGGTTTTGCAATATGTAATGTGAACGAAACCACCGCATGAGCAGCAGGGCCATCAAATGTATATTATGACATTCATGACATACTTGCCATGATTTCCTTGTTATGACCGATCATTTATGCTGTTCATACAGTCATATTATGCCATTTTTGGTTGGGTATTGATCCCATTATCGAAATGGCCAAGAGAGCTAAATGTCGAAGGTGGCTAGATAGATAGATAGATAGATAGATAGATAGATAGATAGATAGATAGATAGATAGATAGATAGATAGATAGATAGATAGATAGATACGCTCAAAGTCGCCGAAGTTCGGTAAGAAATGCTTCGTATTTAATGTCTCCAATTTGACATTACTGCTATGCCGATTCTGCCAAAAGCATTTTATTCTAATTCAATGATTGATTATGCGCAAAAGCCGACGACGGTTATTGTGTATACTAATCAAAATAATCATCAACTGAGAGATGGCTGAACAAATTGACAGCATGCCACCAGTGCCGAAGAGAAGGAATAAAATGTTTGTAGGAATTGTACATACCACAACCACAATATGACTTTTATGGATGCCGCAGTGGGGGGCTCCGGAAATTTCAACCACCTGGGGTACTTGAAGATGCTCCTAAATCAAAGTGTATGGCACTCTATCGCCTCCATCGAAATGTGACTGGCATGACCAGTATTCAACCTCGGGACCTGTGTTAGCAGTCAAGCCTCGTAACCACAACAGCACCTCGGCTGGTTGGCTCAGATTAAGAACTATGTCTTAATAAAGTTATATCTCTTTCACAGTAATTACTTCGTGAACTTACATTGCAGCAAGCACCAGTATCCTCATGTGAAGAAACAAAAGTCGTAAAAATGCGCTGGGCACATGAAAAAAGAATCTCATTTTACTAAACTACTTACGCCGGGTAAACGGTTATTTATCACCCTATTTAGTAGGCTGAGAAAGACGGTGCTAATTATGTTTAAAAAAAGGTCAAGGTGACAAGTTCCGCAAAGGAAACAGTAAGATAATGCTGAATAAACTGAATAACATATATCTAATGTGTAGAAAAATCTGTTCTACAAGTTATAGTGAAGCTACGCTAGCTGGGGCAGATTTCTGAGATGATAACTTTCGGTGACAGTGCCACTTTGACGGGATTTCATGAGATATATGCAGGGAGCGTCGGCGTCGTCGGCCAGCAACATTGTTTCTGCCTTACCGTCTTATTACGGCTGGCATGGTGCCATAGTGCCGTTACCTGTAATGCACTGTGCCCGTAAATGCCCAGACACGTCCGGTGCTCTAGTCTCGTGAAATTTCGTCAAGGTGGCAGCATCACCTGAAGTCATGGTGAAAGTGAAGGTTAGAAGAGGCTCCAATAAACCTCGCTATTTGGAGAGTGTGTGGTGGAAGTGACATAATTTTTTCACTAATAACTACTGGAAACGCTATGCGCTACTTACACGCTTTGTAGTAATCTGCTATTCCGAAACGCTATCGGTGCTTGGGGACTCCGGAAAACCGAGAATAGTTCTACCTCAGACTTTTCTTCCATCACATTTTGTTCGTAACACACACTGTATTTGAAGCGAGGAACCTGAGCTTGAAAATCGCTTTTGGGGTGTGAGCTGCAAGTGTGAGAACCAGCGAGCGAGTGAACAGTATACGTGTACAGGCTCTCATGCAATCATGAGGCGAGTCTTTGTCGTATTGAACGGGTCACGTGAAGACGTATCGGCGTGTTTGCCTGCTTCATTCGAACTGACACCGCCATTCATATGCTTCGTGTTGGTCTAGAATGCCACACCACATGAAGTCTAGTGCTAATGAATTGGCGCTCTTTGGCAATCACATGGCCCTTGCGCCAATAAGCACCATATATATACATGGATTCTAGTGCTATGTGACACAGATAGGAATAATTGAGCAAAATGTGCAAGTGATTCACAGACGAGAGGTAAAGTACTTATATAAACTGACCACGAGCACGAGAGAGCTGCCTCGGGTTGTACACTAATATTGCAGCAATCTGTTGATTTTGGTGAGTCGGTTCATCAAGGCTGAATAAACGTATAAATCAGAGTGAATCAAGGGTGCATAAATACTCAGTAAAGAGAATGCAGTAGCTCAAGAGTGATCGAAATCAATTCAAAGTGCTCCGCAGAGCAAATACGCTGTCGTCCATTTCACAGGATCATACCTATAAAAGCCTCGCTGTCCTGTGAACACTACGAAGATCAGCTCAGTCTGGTCGCCAGAACGCGCAGGGTGGCCGTGGCTCAGCCTCTCCTGGTCCAATTTAAATAAATGTTTCAACTCTGAATCATTTGTCTGTGATCTCCTTAGTGCTCGCTAACAGCATGTACCTGGTGTTGTTTTCTTTTCCATTACTTTATCTGCGTCGCGGATATAACAGCGAAAATGTTTTACAGCATAAAACTGGCAACAGAAAAGCAGACAAAGCTTATACATGTTTTCTCTAAACACTGAGCCCCAAAAAATCTCAATCAAAATTCATATTATTCATTAACAAGTGCTGTCACAGAAGCAAATAGTGTAAATTCTGTTAAATATGCATGTGCTTGAGAACAACAAAAGCGATATATATATATATATAGTGGGAGTAATAATTCAATGGGCCAGTTAGTCTTCGTGAAGGTATGGGATATGGCACAACGGGAGCGTTGTCAACAAGGATAAATATATTTATTTCCCAACAGTTTCGGGAGGGGACCTCCCTTCATCAGGGGATGAGTTATCCCCTGATGAAGGGAGGACCACTCCTAAAACTGTTGGGAAATAAATATATTTATCCTTGTTGACAACGCTCCCGTTGTGCCATATCCCATACATATATATATATATATATATATATATATATATATATATATATATATATATATATATATATATATATATATATATATATATATATATATATTTATATAAATATATATATGTGTATATATATATATATGTGTGTATATATATATATATATATATATATATATATATATATATATATATATATATATATATATATATATATATATATATATAAATAGATAGATAGATTAACATTTAATCTGACCCGGAAAAATCCTCCCCCCGTTTTAAAGGGGCAATAGCTACTTCTAACGCGACGTCAAAGAGCTAGTGTCGCAGAAATTCTGGCGTCGGCGGCAGCGTCGTTGGTTGTGAGCAAAAAATCATCTAGCGCGTGAGTGAGAAATTGAGAAAGATGCAAATAAAAGAAATAATAAAAAATGTGGGTCGGAGTGAGAATCGAACCTGGTCGCTTCAGTGTGAAGCGGCTGTTCCACCACAGAGCGATGTGTCTGCTTTGAAAACAAGTGAAATTAACTTCTTCCATTTGTAAATACAGCAAAATTAGCTTTTATGTTTTACGAACACACGCCTCCTTTATACATCCTTCACAATACAACGTGTATTATAGCAATAACAA